CAGCGAGTTGACGGTTTCCTCCGTGGGACCAGATAACTTTTGTAAGTTTCGACGTCGATCGGTATAAATGAATGTGTTGAAAGGAACTCTAGAAATAAGGAAGGGGTCGTCATTAGTGGACACCAATAATTGACACTACTTAATGGAGATGGAGTAATAAAGGGCACAATAGGATGCCTAAAGCCCATTCACTTCGTTTGTGACTTCGTGGTCTATGCTCAAGAAAAGGATCTTGCAATGGTATCTGTAGTGCCCCCAGTTTTGGGAAATATCCTTATGGCGGATTTCTAACAGAAAGCCCTTGCGGGATCCCCGCACCACCTGAGGCATTATGACTTTATGTAGATTACACTTTTGCTGTGACTAAATGATACAGGGCAGGTGAATCTTACATCTAGCTGAATGACCTGGTTCTCCACATTAAATTTGGTCTGGAGGTGTTCGGTTTCGGGCGCGCTATCCTTCTTGGACCGTATGACATACGATTGGGGTAAACTAAAAACCACTGTACCAGAAGCCAACTGACACTGGGGCAATTTGGAACCATTCATCCATTTTTAAGTCGGTGTTCGCTAGTACTACCCCATCAGTGTTCCGCCAAGTAAGGTGACCTGTATTTAGGAAATTTAATCCAACCGGAATCCAGGTTGGAGTAAAGAGCAGACCTCGGGGTCGGGACTATACAGCTAGTTTGATTATATGTCAATTAAAAGTCGATTAGTACCTGTGGCGAAATCCGACAGGGAATGGATCGCCACTGCTGTTATTCCACACAAAGCAAGAATTTCAAACACAACTTCAGTGTAGCGTTCCGAGGGGAGGTACTGCTTTCTGCTCTGGTACAACTGAAATATCGCCTGCCCCTTCCTCAGTGAATACAACCAGGGCCTGTATGTACGAAAGTAAGTGCAACAACTGAACCAAGGTCTATGTAGGACGAACGGCTAGAAGATTTCGCACCATAATCGGTGGTCACAATTAGAAATTAGAAAATGAAACCATTAGAAATCGAGTTTTCGGTTGTGCAACGGGGATTTCCATTGGAGAGTGTGTCCAGCAACAGAAGCTGGTCAAGCTATGTTTGCCAGAGAATGTTGTTTTCCGTGCCCAGTTCGGAGTGGCGGGAGCAGAGAGGTAGTCAAAACTTGAGCTGTAGTGGGGTATGAAAGAGATCAAAAAAGTTTGGATACTCGCCTTCCAGGATGCGGACCGCGAGATCCCTGTTGCGCCTGGTTGGAGATACTGCAAGATATGGCTGCCAATAGATGTCAATAGTGTTCCTGTTGTCAATTTCCATCCAGATTGCCTGAACGAGTGTTTGGAGGCGTAGGCACCTTGAAATGATTGTAGTACGGTAGCACAAAGTCCCCTCCCCATCCGCCTTTATTTTTTCTTCACAATAAGCCTTTCAAATAAATCATGGTTGTATGGCGGCGAAGCATCGTTGTTGAGCACCGATGTCCTGCTGTCGATACTCACGATGATGAGGCGCAGGTGAATGCTAGACGTTACCGAAGGACTCAGCAATGGTGGGATGTGCACAGGATACGGGACACAAGATAGATTTAGAAAACTTCGAGACAGTAAGTACGATTCATTTCACAGCTACTTGTGGCCAAAACAGTGAAAATCCGCAAGTGTCTCAGTACAAATAGAATACGAGGCTTAATGCTGGTTAGTTTGTGGAGAACGGTTCTTGATCACTCGAGCTGGACACGTGCTGGTATGTGGGGATCAGTGAAGGATAGTTATGAACTCACTGACAGGATCTTTTTATTCATGCTCATCACTGATTTTGTGCGCTAATAGGAAGTGACCGTGCTGATTGGCCCACTTGGTAACCTACCCACGGGGCCGGACGAAGTTTTTGTGTTGAAATCAAGACGTTTCTTAGTTCTAAATCCACCGATTGTTCAACAACCTCTGAAACGATGACTTCTCAACCGGTTCCAGACCTCGGGAATTCAAGGACACGGAACAAAAAGATGGGAAGAAGACGGAAGAAGAACATGGAATAATAAAGGCACGCGTTTCAAAATTCGACCTGTCCCACTGACTTCCAAATGTTCACAAAAATGATACCATTACCACCAAGTATTTTACCACCAGAAATATCCGCATACACCATTTCAAAATAATTATGGAGACTAGTAAACCATCTCACTAGCATTCAGTAAACACTACAGAATGGTCTCTGGTGCGACGGGAAAATATGAAACTAGGAAGTGAAATGATGGTGCATTTGACGTACGGCAGTGAGGCATCAGTGGCAACACTGATGTTGCTGTCTTTGATGATGATGATGCATTTGACGTAACTTCATTTTTCACTGGGTTGATTTAAATCCGGCAATGGCGACGGTCGTATGACTTCTGAACAATGGGGCAACGATAAACGGAACGCTTTGGAAAGAGTATATCTGCGGATCCCGTCACAGACGCTACCAAACGAAGCGCGCAGAGGCGTTTACGAACGTATATCCAGTCAAGTAGAGATTCTTCCGTTCGGTTGCCCAATGCAGTACTCACTCTGACCTACTCAGCTGTAGTGGCCTCTGCATCACCAGATGTGTGCAACCAGAATCTGGAAGAGGGCGAGGGGCGGTCAGTTCAGTTTACAGTCCTTGCTTCCTGTATACTTGTTTCTGAAAGACAACACACATCAATGCGGAGGCAATCCAGCGTATAAGCAAGAGCCAACTATTGTCTTTCGAACACTAAATGCAGTTAAGTAGACAGGCTATCGGTTTTAAAGGCGGATTTCGAAGTGGTTAGGGTCATCATTGGAGTCGGACGTTCAGAGGCTGCAGCTGAGAGGGTTAACAAAGTGGTCAGTTGGGAGCTCCATAGAGAGTATTCAGAGTTGGGTAAAGTAGGGTAGAAGAGGGAAAACTTGGAGGTAGGCAGAGAGGCGTCAGCAGTAGCATGTTTTCGCTTACCCGCTCTACTGTATCCAGCTAGTAAGGCCAGTGACAGCACAGGACGGCCCATGTGGCATGGGAGTACTTTTACTGGTAAGTGTCATGGTTGTATGTGGGCTAGGATTCTGTCAGGGCACCCACAAATAGACAGGAGGGCGATTGTGGTCCTCAACAAAAACCTTTAGCTCCAAAGCCTGGCCACAAAGCAGTGGTGTTTGGCGGAAAATGCAAGTGCATTACCAATCGAATTCTTATGGAATAAGTTGCCGTACATATCCCAAGCTAAAAAACCTGATAGAGCGGAAGGCCTTTAACCAATATGATGTGAGTAACTCCGGGAGTGTCACACACACATTCCCAAGAGAGCTTACTGGATCATGGAGGCCCCTAAACCATCACTCTATGGTAAGTCCCCATTCTGTTCGCGACAAAACAGTCTCTTCCTGACAGCACTGTCCTTGGACGTGCAAGATACTGGACTCCGCCTGCAACTAGTATTAGACACCAGATCAGGTGAAAAAGAGTATCTACGCGGATCAGAAAGGCTGACGAGACGGAGGCGAGAAACGACAAATATGCGTAAACTGTTCCACGTGATGCGCGCAACAGCCCGAGAGAGACCTTCGGCGAACAAAATAGACGCGGACAACATCGGCTTGGTTATAGGTAATAGGTAAGAGCGCCTAAATGGTTTGGTTGAACACTTCCAACAGCAATTATACTGGCCACCTCCAATCGCTCAGCCGGATTTTCAATCGGCAGCACGGCCCTGAACAATGCACTCCCACCGACTTCATAAATAAACACACGTCTTATGTCGTTCAAGCGTCACCAAGTGACCACCCCCACCCGTTGTGTTCAGGGTAGGGGTGAAGTCCTCAGTCTGTGCTTGTCCAACTTATTTGTGTCGATATGGATGGAGGAAATCGTCCCAACCAACTTGGGCAGTGAGTGTGGCAGTCACAGAGAAATTAACTTGATCTGCCTTCTAACCAGACTGCGTCGCTCATTCTACATAGTCTTACAAAAGCGCGTGAAGATGGGACAGCAAGCATGATTCCGGCTGTGTGGACATAATCTTAACCCTGCATCAAGAGTTAGGGCAACGGCATGCATATAGGCATCTATCAGGAAGGTCAGCTTCCTGAAAACAACCACTGAATGCCCGGAATCTACGGAGACTCTCAGCTCCGCTGGGTATTGACCAGACAGACAACGCCTCCTCAATATGCAGCGCGTCACAGCCTTGTGTCAAACCCAGACAGCGCGAGTCAGCGTTGATCAAGGTCAGACAACGCCCCCGCGATATGCAGCACGTCGCAGCCAGACCGCGTGCGTCAGCATTGGGCCAAGTTCAGACAGTGTCCTTCCAATAAAAAGCTTGAGACCGTTGTACTTTTCGCACTCGCACGCACTCGCGCTCTCGTAACCACTTTGTTGGAATATAGCTATTGTGTTCCCTTCCGTGAGCCTTTTTCTCTCCGACACTAGGCACTGGAGCGGGTCAGCAGCAGATACCACAGGCCGGCAAATCACCAGATATAACAGCATCCTAGAATTTTGGTGTTCCTAGATTTCATGAATACTTTTGATTCTGTCGACCGTTTATTTGTTTTCGGCACACTTTTGCAATAGAGTATGCCCCAGAAGTTCGTGGAATATCATGCACTGTTTGATGCACATACTTGTGGAGAGTGTATGGGGAGCTCGCCGAAGCTCTTCCTACAAGTAGCGGTATTCCAAAAGGATTTGTCCGAACGAGCATCCTGTTGTCCTGAAATATGCGGACGACGTAGTTCTGATTTTCTAAGAAAAGAAAAAAAACGGATGCATTACTGGAAAAGATCGTAACCTACGAAGTGCAAAGTCATTGTAAAGAACATACAGCCTTTGAACATGCCCCTGAGATTTCAGGGAGTGACAACGGGGGTTGTTGAACACTATACCTACCTACTAGGTAGACTTCACGTTTTTCACAAACTTCAGCCTATAAGGTCTGTCATACAGATCTGGTTGGTACTGTTACCACAGTTAAACTGTGTTGGATTTGGGAACCTATTTTCGCATATTTCTCCTTTTAGCTATTTCTCCGTATGTTGTGGCCTTATGATAGTGGTGGATGATGCTGTCTCGCACTTCGGCCAGGCAACAACGAATGCGGCAACAAATCTTGAATGAAGAACGCATGTCCCAAACTCCCCATCTTGTCAGGATTCCAGGACAGCGGAAGTCCAGTGGGTCGAAATTGATTATCAGCAGTCCTACTCCATCCACACAGCCTCCTGGCAGTATATCCCAGCCAACATCTCAAAGTCCCCCTATTTCTACCCCGAATGCACGGATTTCTTCACAGGCTCCTAGCCGTGGACCTGGTGCCAGTGCATTACTAGCCTTTTTGAGTGGCCCTAACCAGCGTTCCACTGCGGTAAGTGGTTTCGCCGGATGTAAGCTATTTTGTATGCTGTCAGACTGGTTGATGTAGAATAAAATGCACTAACAGTTTTGCCGCTGCCCCAGCCATGTGCTGGGGGGGATTCAAGATTTTTTACCACGCACTTCTGCGTTGTTGTCAGATTCGGTTATTTCATTTTCTTCCTGTTTCACCACACTTTCGCTACCGTAGGAAACACAAACGCACATGGTATCTTGGCATGACCTGTGTCGTTCGAAGCGCACGTGGACTATCGCCTACGGCCTTTATCCTCTCAGTACAGTTCATCATAGTGACCTTACTTACCACGATTGCACATGGAAGGTGGCTTTTTGCTTCATTAAGGCACATTAGAGTGATATCAATCCTCAAACGCGACAAAGCACCTGAGGGTCCTGTATGTGAACTCATGTGGACGCGTACGACTAGACGGCAAGCTTTCGTCTGAGTTCGCCACTTCCAGTGGTGTAGGACAGGGCTGTCCTCTCCCGCCTTTCCTTTTCAACTTTGTCATTGATGTGTTGCTTGAAATTTCTCTTCCTGCCTCTAAAAACTCGGGGGTCGAAATGATCCCGGAATATTCGCCTAATGACATTGATTATGCGGATAATATTACTCCCCTCGGTTCAGATTCTTCAAAAATGCAAACCATTTTAAATAACCTAAATAACTCTGCCGCATGGGTTGGAATGCGCTTCACACCTGCAAAGTTTAAAGTGATACTACAAGACTAGGTAGGATCCAACCCACACCTCATGCTTGCAAGAGAGCCAATCGACGTAGTAGACTAATTTGTCTAACTAGGCAGTTGTATAAGTTCCGTTAAACTGGCTGGAGGTGAGATTACTTCTCGGATCGGAAAAATCAGGACAGCTTTTGCGAATCTCTGACACCTATGGTGCCGATGCGACCTCAGTTTATCTGTCAAGGACAGAGTTTACACTGCGGCGGTGCGGTCCGTACTGTTTTATGGCTCTACGCGCAGAGGACGTACGAAAGATGACCAACGGTATCTCCGAAGTATTGGGCAGGTCTGGTGGGAGCATCGGATCGGTAATGTATGCCGGATCGTTCTGGGAATAAGGGAGATCTCTCGCAATAGGTCACTTACACTTCATAGGTTACGCTGGTTACGCTTAAATGCTCTTCCACTTCCCGATGATCGAAACTATACCATCTGGAATCAATGTGCTTGTGGTACACGGTTTGTAGTTGGTAAATTGAATTGAAATTGCCTGATGGCTCAAACGACATCCCAGTAGCCGTTCTGGTTATGTCGATCGATTGACCTGTCTGTCTAGATCCATTGGTTAAGTAGCGTCATAGACAACTGAGACCAGATGGATGGTTTTTATTAGTTTTGGATGGCTGTGAGACAAGTTCTTTCTTGTTTGGTCTGAACTCATGGGAATGATTGCGCCAGGACGGGCGGAGTGCTGTTCACATGAGATTGATATTAGGGTTAAATCCTGCCGCTAGGACTACAGTACTACGTACGCCGGAGGGACTCGAGGCAGCTGAAAGGAGGAATCACAGAACACGCGCCCTCTATCTTGAATTTCTGCGATACCGAAAACTTGTAAAAAAAAGACCTGGTAATACACTCAGGACGGTTCTGTGTGGGAGCTTTGTTAATTTGTGCGCCCCCACCTGTGTGAGGTAGAACGGTGGTCATTCCCCATCCGCTGTGAGTGGGTTGATGTACATCTGCGAATCGTGTGACTTGTTCATCTCAGCTTCAACTCACGGATAGGATTCTCATCTAGATTATTAAAACTACCTTCTCGAATGTCGACTTCACTCTGATAGTGGTTGGTATACTTATTTTTTATTTTCCGCTTTCGATTATTCTGCTCCTGATGAAGAAGATAATCTGCAGTGATGGTTTCGTTGGGCCGCAAGACTGTTCTTACTCGTGTGCACTTTCACCAGTAGTTAACCCAGTGGAGACGAGGGGGGTTTTCCTGAGGCCGACGTGTCGTCCTCCAGTTTCCCATTATCTAGAACTGGCATTGTGTCTTGCTTTACCTGGACGAACGGTTAGAATAGCCAACATGGTATTGATCATACGCTTTTCTTGAATCACGACAACTGTTTTATTCAGTGCATTGAATACCACCAATTCTACTCGTTTTCAACCTAATTCGATTCACTTTCAGTGCCATTGCATCATCATTGGAACTGGAAGCCCAGATTCTGGTGAGGTTTGTAGGATGGAATCTGGACGAGGAACAGCCTCATGGCATTTTAACAGTAGCAAAATAAGCAGGACTTTGTTCAAACACGATATTTTATTTGCCCCCAACATTTCACTTCGTTTATCCGAACATGGACCTATTTTCCTTCCAAGGAGCCATTTTTAGGGTTAGCCGTGTTGCATTCATGCCGTATAAGAGTGTACTCATTGGATATTATTCAAATTGACTTAGAGAATCACCTGGTAGCTGGTAGAATCCGATGGATGCAGAGACCAGGCGAGACACAGCGTTCAGTCTGACTTCCGAGAATAAAAAAGCTTGCTGGAGTGTTCGATACAGTAAGTGAGAATAGTTGAAGGCTGGGCCTTATTCATTCAGACGTTGAAACAAAGCAAAATTGAGATATCGCGCGTGATACGGAGCCTAAGTGAACGAAAATAGATCTGCCGTGCCATGCACTTAGGAGATTAGGGAAAAGTCTAATTCCTGATGGAACCACTTTAAATGGTGCCGATTGACTAACGTGGTTGCACTCAGATCGTAGCCTGTAAGCTCAGTTTGGCGCACGCAACTTGTTATTTGACACTGTAGCTACGTTCTCTGTAGTCCCTGCGTCCACTCACATGCATGAGGTATCTCTGGACAGTTTGTTTAATGGCATGAGGTACCTGTTGATTCATGACAAACCTTGAATTAATTAAAGTGCAAGCTGTGAATTGATGCACTAGGCGCTTCCGTTTGGGGAGTGGTTAGCAGTAAAACATCCATGTTTTTTTGGTTTCTAATGGAAGGAAGTGACTAGCGGACTCCTTTTTAGCAGAGTATGTTGAAGGAATCAAGAATGCTATTAGGTTCTGGGAAGAAAATGGTAGCGGAACAGGGGCAGCAGACCATGTGGATTTGGTCCAGTGGATGTACACAAGATTTCGACTGTCAAGACTGAGCCATCCATAGGGGTAGCTACTAATGTATTCGTGCGGTTTAGGTAGTGGGCATGTGGCTGGAGTGTGTGTGATGCGTAGCAACTTAAAGGAGGCCCAGTTGTATCTTCTAGATGTTTTCCGTTATACCTTCACTGTAGTTACGTTCCTTATTAACAACCTTTGCGAGGATAAATTATCATTGCAGTGGATAATGTATTTTTGCATGATGTCACAGATTTTCGGCAGTTTAACCTATCACCATAAGAAAAAAGATAATTTTTCGAACAATTTTTGCTTCCTTGAGGTGACATTTCCTTTCAAAAAGCCCCAGAGTATCCAGTAGGATTCTCTTGGGTAGAGTTTTGAGAATAAAGCAACCTTTTGTTGAGAGAAAGAGCTGCTTGTTCAGCAGCTTGTTTGATGCTTGTCAATCACATTCGTCTCCTAAGATAGGATAACCAAAATAACCAGAGTTTTGGTTCGCCTGACTTTTACCGCTGGTGTCATTTGAAATGAATACAGTTTTTGCGCCTTTTTGCTTGGGGCTCTCTCGATGGGGCCACATCGAGCCACTGTCTTGTGGGGCATTGAATGTCTTGGTTGCACTTCATGGTGTATTCGGATACTGTGGTCAAACTCAGCATAACTGCATTTTATGCAGTGACACTGCTTAGAGGAGCGGTAGTTCACTGCAGTGGGGGATGCAAGTTGCAAGCATTCTCAACCACTTTATGTGTGGGATCGGAGTTTTAGGTCCCACTACCAATTGTTCCTCTAATTTCAGACAGTTGCTCACTTCCAGATGGTTGGCTCAATTCGAGTTCCAATAGAAGGCTTATGGAGGACGTTATATTCTTGTCCATCTCGTATCAATTGCTTCGAGACCATCTACTGAGGAATTGATCTCGGGATTTGGCGACAGAAAGTGACTACTTTCGGCTCATTTTACTATTCTCCCAGAGCGGACCGTAAATTTTCAATCTGAATTTCAATAAGTTGTGCCTGAGTCCTGCTAGACAACCGGTTTGTATAATCGTCACTTGTTTGACGATTATTTTCACTAGGCAGCCATTGAAATTGTTATTGAGACTGTTTTTCCTTCTTTCTTAATGTAGTGTCATTTATAAATAATCTTCCCTGTTCCATATACGCTAGACAACAGCAGTAACAGCAACAAACAATACTTCACCCGGTGATACTGAATCGCGCTCTAATCACGAGCCTTCAATTCAGCGAACTGGTTGTGCACTTCCCACGCCAACTCAAGCGCCATCCAATCTGGTAGACAGTTCTCAAACTCCTAAGTACATAGCTGCAGCCGATGCTGGCAAATCCGTTTCCTGCCAATATCAAACTGCCCAACGCCCTCCCGGACTTTCTGTACAACTTTCGTCGTCTCTTGGAAAGCCTACTAGCGTAAACGAGGGACCTGTCGCTCCGGCTGTTGCTGAGCGTGATAGTATGGAGATGGACGCCAACCTATCGTCAGTTTCCTCTGATTTGAATTCAGTGAGTTTTCTTACCCATCCGTGGATATTTTCTCACGTGGTGTGCTGAAAACCTTCACACTCTTACAACCTAAGTAGCCGCAGGTGCTTTCCTCTTATGGTAAAACCATTTGTGGTAGTTAAGTTGGAAATTGATACCCTGTTTGTAGGCGAGTTCTAGTGCTTTTTTGACTGACCTTCCAGTATCTATCATAAGTTGATCCTACTTGGACACGTTATAGAATTCACTTTACTGAGGTCTCGTGTACATGTCTACCGCACCCTTTGGCTTTCTACCTAGAAGGTCGTCTGTGAATCTTGACATGATTCGGTGCTCCTAATTATGCAGTAAGATGTTGTCCGAACTTGACGGATACTTTTGACATCGAAAGACTGGCCTTATCAGGTGGTAGGGTCATCACGTAGCGCTAAGCAGCCTATGGCCATGTTTGCTCTGGACGCACATGTTAAATGGACTAGTTGTTTAGGGTTGGTTTCTTTTTCATGTCCTTCAGTGGCTCATGGAGTATATCCAGCTGATTTACCGAAAGAGTTAACTTTCCTGAAAACCATCTGACGTACCTCAGCATTATTCATTAGACCCACGCAATGCTTCGGAGTCACCTGTGGTCAAACACAGCGAGTCTTCGACGATCTTCTGTAGACAGTGATCCTGGTTCTGATCCATAAAGTAGGGCAGATGAATCTGCAGGAGTGTGCACTCTATCCTGGACAGTCAAGCTAATTTCGCATCGGCGCAACAAATGTCGGGGTTTGACAAACGTCCCTACCTGCCCGACTAAGGAAATGTTTCCATCTATCGTGAGTATGTCGGGACTTATACAGCTGTCGAGACAAACGAACTTATCTACCACATTGATCAGTTTATCTGCAAGCATGAGGTTTGAGTCTTCCTCCCACCCAGTCCTGCAGATATTATTGGGTTACAGAGACACCTTGCAGGTGAATGACCCTGCTTTAACCGGCGTATTCTAGAGGTAAGGGATTGCCTACACGTGATAACACAGTGGCGTGGCCAGTGTCAGTTTGTGAACTCCCGGGGTGAACGACAATCTTTTACTTGAAACTCTCCCTCGGTAGCTTCGTCCAAACAACTTCAAGACTGGTTTGCAGTTTGTGGCTCACACGGTGTGAGCGCTTGTGCTAAAAGTGTGTGCTAGCCAGAAACAAATGATGTTCAGTACGCAAGTGAAGAAGTTGTCCTACGTCATCTGTGCAGCAAGTGTCAACTTGATTCGACTGCCTCGGGAATTAGTCGGTCCTCCTGGGCATTCTCAATCATACTTCGTATGATACCTGCACAATTTAATGACCTAGGCAACCGTGCCAACTAAGGGATACCTTTCTCACCCTTAGGACTTCTGTCCGTCGGAGCTGATACAACAAATAAGCACTACTGATCGCGTCGAAATGCGGTCATCCTAATTTAGGCAACCAACCTTACAGAAATCGAGTCCAGTAAAGCCCAACCCTGCGGTTAAGCAGTAATTCTACGCCATAGGTATCGTGAGGTATTGCATCAGGATCACCGGGCATCTAAAGTGTAAAGCGTGAGGAATTTGGATCCGTTCCGAATGGTTTGAGGTATGCAATCGAGCTAAGGTCTTGAATTCGTGTTTCGGAAACAACATACGTCGATCGGAAGAGAGCACATGGTTTGAGCGAGAGGTGCCTGTTGTTCAGTCCGACGCATCCCGGAAATGGAAGGTCGGGATATTTGATCAGATCACTGGATCCGATTATTGATAAGATCGTTCTGCTAGATCATTCGAATTTAATAGAGGCTTGTTTTCGTTTATTTTATTGGGCTATGGTTGGGTCATTGGCAGCTAAATAAATAAGAAAAATCCAGTTGAAAGGCACGTGGGGAAAGGAATGAAGTGCTGTGACAATGTATAGTATCTGACTAGGGAACAGAGTACACTCAGTGCAAGGGATGAGAAACAGTCCTTTGGTGGTTCCGGGATATCTGGGATGATACTTCCCATGCTGAAGGAGGCTTAGTTGAGGTATCCAACCTTGAACCATTGACATACAAATCCGACCTACGTAGTGGGAGGATGTAGGGTTTTGTTCATGAATCCTTCCCCTAGCCCCTGAATCAAACATCCGAACCGCGGAGCAGCGTTTGTTAGGGTTTTACTGAGAGACCCATCTCGGAGCCAATGACTCAATAGCCTGACCCACTTGGCATCCGGGGGCTGGCGTGGTTTGAGAGTGCAGTAAATGAGGCATGCGTATCCCACTCCTGACGCTGCTGCCGATAGAAAATGCGTTCGGAGCCACGGAGGGATCTTGGCAAGGTCCGTTTTTCGACTGTATTGAATAATTCACTTGTGGTCACAGTCAATCAGAGCGTGCGGTCTTTGCATTAGGGCTTTCCTAACCCTTCCTTCCTCGGTGAAAGGCAGCATAACTGAATTCACATGTATGGAATGCTGGTTGCATAGGGAAGCACACCACGTTACTGTTCATACACTTCTCTCATAATGAACAGCACGATTTTCTTGCCGAGCACCTCGTAATACAATTTCTGACAGTACGCAAACTCTGTTTTTCATCGACTGACTCCCACTGGCCTCTCTGGCATGGCTAATCCCTAAGGAACTCAATCCCAAGCAATGTAGCCGTCAGTATCACTATATCACTGAGGCCGACCACGACGATAAGGTGACAGCTAGGGTTTGGAAGAAGGCAAATGGCGAACGGCTTATATTTATTTTGCGTACTTCAGCAAGGAAATATTAAAAGGGAGTTAAATGCAGTGTGATGCGATCTGAGGCCTTGAGTCAGCACCGTTTAGAGATCTGGTTCGGTCTATAAGTATGAAAATAAAGCACACCGCTTCTATTTTCTGTCTGCTGTCCGTTCGGATGATATGTCTCATGTAGTGTGATTTAGTGAAACTTCTGATCACTTGTTTACGATTCCGAACCACCTCCTCCTATTAGACTGTATTAAGTGATGCAATGAGTGTGCGCCTGGTGCAGACCTATCACTATGGTTGTGCAGAAGTTACCAATATTCTGGTGAAACCTCACAGCTATGATTAGATTATTCCACCCCCGCACTGCTCAATTGGTATGGCATGAAATTTACATATGTTGTTTAGTTGATGCTTGACTTTCTTTTTGAAAATATCGTTTGCGAGTCAGACTCTCCAATCGTATCGTTTAATGTGAATCCGTAGAATCGCTCGCCCATGTTCTGCATGTTAAGTAGCCTTCAAGTTAAGGAGGTGAGTTCAGTCAATTTTCCAATTTCCATAGTAGTACATCCGTGTCCTTGCCGCTACAAGCTGACCACGCACAATTCTTGATAAATCATATCGCAAAGAAACCAAGTTGCTTGTGTGGCGTATGTTCTGCGCTCTTAAATTCATTCGCAATGGAAATGTGGCATCACCGAATTTTTGTGATCTTCAAAAAACCCTTCTGCGTAGAAAATATATTTAGTTCCCCAAATCGCATTTAATTCCATCTTTCAAAGGGAACAAGGAACACTGGAAACTGAAAAAAATTGTGGTTCAGCGAGTGTTTGCTTTTTTTTAGCTTGCTTACGCATCATTTACAAGCACGTGCCTGCTGTATTGTGCCAAATGGAATGATCAATCGATTGGGATTTTCTAATCTCCCGGTTGCATATGATTGGAAGTCTAAAGTGTGGCTGGAGTATTCGAGTTAACTATGAACGAAATATTGAGTGATCACCCAGGAAAAATGAAGCTATGGGTTTGGTAGCAATGCTTGTGTGCGGGTGCCGAACGATACGGAGAACAAAGTCATCACAACCTCTCGAATGTAAATGAAGATATGTTGGTTTTGAAGTCGGACTATAATTTACACTCAACCACAAATACACCTAGTTGCACACATTCTACGACCGAATACACGATGGATTGTCGAGTTCTAGTATACTAAGTAGTGTCGAAACTAGTTCATCAAATGTAATTTTGACTGTGGAAAATGTTGTACTGTTCGTGGAATTTCCTGTGAGCAACTATAGCCAAACACTTGTCGAAGTTTTCCTTAAGCATCTCGCTACTGATCCGCTACTAACTACTTTCAAGTCAAATAGCCCAGTTCAATTAGTTAGCACTGCTTTGATGAGTTCGAGTGCACTTATTGCGATGGCTTCCAAGAATTTTGCCTCAGTTTTTCATTTGTTTTCGCCAACTTTTTCGCGTGTTGAAGTCACATCACCTAGTCCCTTTCAGGAAGCTTTTTCTGGTGTACAACTCCAATCACGCCGTCATACTTACCGACTTATGATCAAGTGAGTGGAGCTTGTTACACTTTGAGGTGTGCCACGGTGAATCACCCGTGTTGTCTCCCGCACGTAGAAGTGAACGCTGTGTATTGTCGGGGAAGGCTGATGTCGTTATTCCGAGGATCGTTATTTCATGCTGGCATTCGGAAATCTCTTTCTGATGACCGATGGAGAATTGTTGGGTAACGAAAGCTCACAGAACAGCTTTTCTAGAAAGAAAGCAGTCGCACCAACCGCAAGTCAAAATAATCTAAATGTCAGTTAAACAACAGCTGAAAAAGACTGACTGTAAATTCGTCAGCAGGTTTGTTTTCTAGATATATGGACAACGCTTCTATAGTTATCTGCTAGACATATCCAGGAGTCGATTCGCAAACGCAATTTCAACACCAAACTTTTGTAGGACACCGAATGGCGGGAAAAATAGGGATCAGAGCGCCTGCATGGTATACCTCTCAAATCTAGCCTCAAGTTTAGTAGAATCATCTTTGTGGCAGGCTTGCTATTCTGCCAATCCAAGTGATACGGCCTCGCCAAAAGTCTGCTTCTTGAAGCTTATTCATATGATCTTGCTGCGGTGAAAGTTTCGGAGCGAGCGATGTTCACAGAACAATGGGCAGTATTCATGTTACAAATAATATAAATAAACGGGCTCAGGGAAAACCTGCGTGGCACATGCGTATATTACGTGTAGTGTAGCGGAGAATGATGACCCTTGAGGCCGTGTCCGCAGTCCAGCTGTCAGTTTATGGATCCCCCTGCTGATAAGGCTGGCTTTAGGTAGATTTCGATGTTGAAACAGAAGCCGAGTAGAGGACAGTTGTTTTTAGGAATGGGTTCCACTGCAAGAAAATTTAGACGATTTATCGAAAGAAGCATAGCTTGAATAACGATAGGAAATATGAATGCTGTGAGAGTCATAGGATGACACTTGTGTTCGGTTCACTTCACTTGTTGGTTTTGTTGGTTAGACTGGACCGATGTATTGTTGAGGTCTAGGGGAGAATATAGGATGAGCAGCTCTGAGGTATATTGGACGGTTTTGGAGCAGGAAGCTTGACTATGAATTGACCACTTCATGAATTATGCGACTAGATCACGTACTTTGCATTCTAGTGTATCCTTCACCAGCTACTTACAGGGGCTACCCTAAGTAAGTAGTCAATGAAGTGGTGACACTACGCAAAAGCTGTGAATAACTCTGATGGATGCATGAAATTGAGTCCAACACGGTCTCATTCGGACGTTTTCTTCCCTTCGGTCGATAGCAGGTGATCATGCCTCGGACACTGGAACGATCTGTCATGTGACTGAACGATCAAACAATCGGAGGATTGGTCCGTTAATCACCCTGTACTAGGACATTGTCTCTGTGATCATTGTCGATTGCCCGGGCAGTGTTTTAGTTGATTGGGTAAGGTTACGGCCAACCCCAAAACATCTATCGAAGTTCTGAGGTGTGGAACTCGACCTAGCTTTTCACAATTCATAAGTAATTTATGTCGCATCGCTTCTCTTAGTCATATTGATAACCCAGGATTAGACTGATTTGTCCGGAAGCCGAAGGTAGCCAAAGTTTCGGAGATGAGCCCTGTGGAATTTGGATGATTCGGCTGACGAATTATCCATGTGATCTAGTATCGGTAGACCAACTGACGGGTCTGTTTGCGACTGATATGGTATATTTATGGTGCTCCATTAACGGACAGAGACGATTGGCGTAAGAACCGAAGATCATTATTTTGGAGTGTGCAGTTGAATTCCGGCAAAATGTTTCCTGTAGGTGTACACAACTCAAATTGTACACTCATACTTTGCTATTTCCCATTTCTGTCCAGCCGATGGAGTCCTGCTTTGCGAACATCCTCGAGGAGCATGGAAATGACAGTATTGATTTGAACAGCATCACTCCCTCAATCCAGTTTTCTACCCCAGTGAGTTTCTCATAGTTATCTCTGGGCTACCAGACGAAATAGCAGGTTTTGAAACTGTTCTTGATGGCATTTGGGTATAGAGCATCCAGCGACACGTTTCCTGGGAAGCTTTAAAGTTGTGGTTTTTTGGAGTGGTCTGTTGACTATAGTTTTTTTCCGATGTTGTATTACCTCGATTTCGTCCAAGTGAGTCCAAGCCTTTAGGAACTTGTTATTCGCTACTGCAAGCTCCTAATCTGGATTGCCGTTATGCGTTTGTGTCCGTTGTTACGCCTTACGTTTTGAATGCATTATAATGAATTGCACCGTCGTTTAGTAAGCTGTGTCGTTTACCGATTTTACTATTCAAAGTATTCTATGTGTTTGAAGCCTAGGGCTATGGGTGCCTCATGTGGTTCGCCACTAATGCCCCTGACTTGCCCCGGCTTGCCAGTTGTGACTGTAGATATGATGGTGTCCAGTACTGACGTGTGTTCCTTGGTCTGGCGCCTATTCTGTCTTGTGGACTGATTTGTAGATATTTACATGCGATGCACCTTTCTGTTCATTATAGCTGCCTTACTCACTTCGAGTTTAACTATCTTTAGCCATCTTGTCATCTAGCCACGGCTGCTGAATTATTCGCCTGCTTACAGGGGTAACTGGGACGTCGTACTACTCACACGTAAGGTTCACAGGGTAGCTGTGTCCACACGACCAAAACTGAGCCTGGAATGATCGAACATACGCCAGAACATTATGTGAATGGCATTCTCCAACCGCTGCAACCACTAATGAATTTTGTGAAGATGCCTTGTTCGACAGGAGGGGTTAAAGTACCTTTCCCCATTGTGGTGTTTCTGAACGTCACTTTGTCCGCATCTCAGTGTCTCAGGAAAACTAAACCACCCCCATTCCTTCGCGAGTTTATTCATTGTTGGAGGAAACCGCTGTACCTAGTCACACGTTAATTCTGTTTCGGCAGTCAAACCATGTAATCGCGTTGTTTGATTCGGTCGACGCCCACACTTCACCCTTGTTTCCACCGAACTGTTTAGCGGGATCTGTCTCTTACGACAGCCGCCATACAGTTCAGCCCTCCTGGCTTTTTTAATATGTCGGCGAGTTTAGTTGTTTGGCCATTGGATTTTCTAGTCCGGCGAGCTGACAAGAGTAAACTCTTGGGAACCGGCAGAAGTGAGCCATCCGGGTGTATGCTTTCTATTCCGTGGACATTATTCACCGCTTTAGATCAGGTTAACCGGGTGGCACGTAGCAGAGTAGCGCAGTCTGGGTCACCGTATGTTTGTGTTCAGGTTTCGTGGCCAACCAAAATGTCCGTTTGTACGAATGGTGTTTTGTTAACACGTTTGCTATGCATTGACCATCGGTATGTTGTGTATCAAGCATACTAGGCTGTCTGGGTTTTACTCGCAATTATGGTCAAGGTCGTTCAGTGTTTGTCTCGAGGAATCAGCCATGATTTCTTAAATCCAAGCATGAACTTGTTTCGGGTTGACTGATTGCCAATGTATAGTCGATAAGTCTCAACACCGTAACTTATGGATGAGGGACAAACACGTTCAGCCATTTGTCTTTCTACAGCAAAGTGACAGGCTATAACTAAATACCTTCGATCTTAAGAGGATTAATTTGATGTAAACTATCGATTTTCATGCGGTTTTTCAACAGCTAACGCTTATGCCTTCCATAAACTCGCCAGTTTCACTTATCCATACGGGCTCAGGAGCACCTACTCACGTTGTGCCCTCTTGTGTTCCAAGGTTTAGTAGAACTTGAATTGAGTGGTCTTAATTGTGGATAAGCTACTCCAGGAGAGCGATCTCATCCATTTCATCGTCGAAAATTCAATTTTTCTACGTCACAATGGTTTCATTCAGCAACTATATTAGAATTGTTGTAACAACGTTTAACTGCTTACCTCTCTTGCTCGACTACCCACCTTTCTCAAATTCTGTTTCACAAATATACGGCAGAAAGTCAATTCAGGTTTCTTGGCACCAACGCATCTGGTGGCTACCGTCGTCCCTCTACTCCTGTTAAACACTGCTCACAATCAGGTTTACTGTACTCGCTTCTGTAAATGATCGTGTCGGGGTTTGTTAGGACTGAGTGCTAACACAGTCTGTATCCATTCGTCTGGTGGACTAAATGGTGACTATTTTACTTACCCGCCGCAATTTATATACACTCATATGCCGTCTTAGTTGATTTCCATCATTCATGCCTTCATGTTATTTTCTCTACAGGTTGGGAGCGAATTTCTGAACTACGCTCGGCAGCACACGTCAACAAATGACCGTGTCCATCAAGTCCCTTGCACTGCCGGCCAACTACAGCTAGGTATCCGCATCCTGCAAGACTATGACACTCGCCAGATAAGCCCAAAACTGAGCGAAGGCAGTTCTCCAATCAAATCATCTGCGTCATGTCCCACAGACGTGCAAGGTGTGCTGAATCCCCTGGGTACCAGTCCACTTCCCGTGGGCTCGCTGGGCACGCAGGTCGGCACAAGTGGAAGCGGCGGCAGTTTGGGTGGCGTAAGCGGTACTGATGGAGGAAGTGGTAGTGGCACAGCCTTACTGTTTACAACTGTCAGTCCCATGTCCCGACATCCGGAAGAACAAAGAGCAGCCTGGGTGCGAGATCGGACCAAGAAAGATAGTCATAATAGGAGTGAGTACTGATAGGACCAGTCATCTATTTTACAAACTCTTTTCCACAATTGCGGCAGGTTCTTGATGCTGTTTACTTAATCGATGAGTTTGCAGGTACCTGTTTTGTGGCCTATTTTCTCGTTACTTTATAGAGGAACCTTAACGTACGTGAAAGCATGAATCGAGCTGGAGCTCATGCATTCAACTTTGTTTGGATGTCTGAATATTAACAACTCGGGTACATTTAATGAATGTTAATAAACACACTCGATATTCCAACAGTCTGACATTGCCAGCGAAATCGGGCGTTCTAGGCTCGAAGCGGCCGGTCGATAGGAGACTTTCGCCAGGTGACAAGCCTCCACACACCAACAGCTACGTTTCATCCATAAATATTTGTGAGAATGTGTTCTTCCACATGGTTTGACCCATGGGCCGCCAATAAGTCATCAGAAAACAGTGAACACTGTTTAGTCTGGTAATCAGTATCATACTGGTTAATAGGACGCCACTGACGGGGGAAAATAGCTAACTGGAGGGCCCATGACTGAAAGATTTCTCCACTTCCCAGTCTATGGGTGATAGTGACTTTTAATACCTGTCATAGAATCCATTTTCTTTCATTGTGCACGGTAAATTTCACGTTCAGGAACTCCATGCGTTGACGGTTGCGTTCTGCATTCGAATTTGGAGCACTCTATTGGTCCCAACAAAACAAAGCGAGCACGGTTCCCCGAGGCAAAAATCTCTCTAGAAGAGCTGCTGCGCTTCCATGCGGTGAACATTTTGTTTGATTCTGTCGGTTAGGACCGAACTACCCAGGTGCATGGGTTCAGCTCGCCAACGAACTAGCGAAATGTATTATTTTAAGTAAAACCTTGTGGTCACACCCTAAGGCTCCTTGTTGTTGTGGAGCTTAATGCCACGGAATGTTATTAGTCACCCTGTTTTCCCGAAAGTCCAAGCTCCGTTACATCAAGCTTTGAAGTGTTGTGAAGTGAAAATTTCTGTCATTTTGTTTATGATAGTGATGGCTGTGATGATTGGATTCGGTTTAGTTCCCTGATTGCATAGGTCCGCTAATCATACTTGCAGCTGGATATGAACCACAATAAGCTACGAACTCCACATTTCGCATGAGAGCTCATCATTAGTTATCCGACCATGTGATACGAGAATTCGGAAAATAATAAGGGGCAACGATACTAACCAGTGACCAGTTGGAAGAGGCAGTACTTTGGTGGGGCGTTCAGATTAACGAAAGGTATTTGTTTTTGTTCAGCGGAAGCTAATACGAACTGTGTACTGAACATAGTGGACTGGCATGCGTTTCTGGGTTAGTGTTGTATATCAAACTACGCCAATGGAGACCCATACTCAATGGGTAACATGCTTAGTCGAATGTGAATCCTCCTGGACGCCCTGTACCCGATGTGATCCCGAGGGGATAACACCGCAGGTTGGACAAGAAGGGATAGTTCTGAAGCCACCAGTCTGCCCAATAGGCGACCCACAATAGTCACTCCAACTGGGTGAAACGGAACCGTTGAGCCCTACATTCAAAGAGGCATCTCGTAGCTCATAGTATTCAATAGACACATCCTAGACGCATATATAGTTAGCTACTGCTGGTCATCATTCATCTAGATCTGAACAAAGATGGTTACAGGGAGTCATCTCTAGCACCACTGTAGGCTTAACAGGCATTTAGGCAAACCACTGCCTAGTGTTTACTACTCTTTCTCACTGCTGTTTGATGTTTAGACAGCACATCGTCCTTGAGTTTCATCTGTTTTCTCACTTCCCATTCACGATGAGCTGCGGTGCGATTGATGTATTCGTCGGTCCATCCATATCGATGGATCCGCAAAGTAACCACGCGTCTATGATTTGATACTGCGAGTTTCATGTTGTACCGTAGGTGAAAAAGGGTCCCTTTTGAGAATGAAGTTGAAACAAACTATCGTACCCACCGTTTGCGTACGCATATTTATTTTTGCCTTCGCATTTAGGTAGGCTATGATACGTCTCTGGTTTTGGTTGTTGTGAGGTGAGGTTAGTAAATATGCGATTCAGTCTTCTAGAAACCCGACTGAATATTTGTCGCTTTTATCCCAAGGCTTCAGTCTTCTAATCGGCATCTGTCAGTGACATCCAACCGGCTTGCTTACGTTGCTTGCTTGCTTGCTTACGTTTGTTTCTGACTCTTATTTCTGAAGCGGAGCTTCTAACGTAATGACTTTTTTTTAGCTCTTTTGAAAGGTAGTTTCTTGAATTCTGCTGTTTCACCCTCTGACAGTGCTACCTTGCTTACCTCGAGGGGTACCTACACATCTACTCATTTAATTGAGTACACCTAAGTTGCTTTTTGAAGTGTTTCTACTACCTGGTTTGTCTCGATCGGCCTTGGTACTTGCCTTTACAATCGAGGCCCTAAGTTGTGATTCCCACTTACCATCACCTGGCATGTATTGGAGCGACTTCGGTTGTTCCAACGAACCCTAAGGAGATACTGTCACCGAGATGGACAGTTACCACCGGCCTTGAACCCACCTCGTACCACAAAAATCCCCGCAGATCGCTATAAGGAAAGGGTGCATTGGCTCCTCTTGAGAGATTGGACACGGGCGATACATTTTCAGCCTATCAGCTTCTCTTGATGGGTCCATCTTAGGAAGGGGCTTCTGTATTTAAGCATAAGACTTTCTGTGCAAGCGGGTCTTACTTAGATGTTCCAAGTTGTTTGGGTCGCTGTTGGTAATCGGCTTAGGCGTCGTTCAGTTCTCAAACACTTTTACTCTTTCGGTTTGTTAACTTGACGTTAAACATTGACATACTTATTGTAAACAATAAGCTTGTGTGTTGAATGAAGTGTCGTTAGCTTATGTAGCACGCATTGCCTTGCATGACTGATGGTAATTCGGACAAGTATGTGAAAAAAACAAAGTACACCAATCACCTGTTGCTTTTACACACATTACTGACTGTCCGCATCGTGAATTCGTGTTGTGTGCAGGCTGCATTTATCTCACCTTGAAAGGACTGTTTGACACGACTGGAAGGCGCGATAATAGGAGATGTAATGGCCTTCGTTGAATGATGGCTTGCTTAGTAACTTCGAAGGGTTTTTCGTACCGCGACCGTGCTGGGTTGAATATATAACTTTTGGGGCGTCAGGCATAAAATCGCGTGTCTGGACTCCAATATTTTACGTAGGTGCCTCAGACTCAAATAACCTAGTGTAGCCGCATACCAGTTAGAGTCGGTGACTACCAAGCCGTGATGGAAAGGCGAGCTTGAATTCATGTTTTAGTGTCTCTCTTTGTCCTGGAAAACAAATTTATTCATCGAACAATCTCCAGTACTGCTGATGACAGCCTCGAAACCTTATTGTGACTTAATCGAATCTGGCAACTGGGACCCTTTTCGGCACATGGCTACCATGCAACCCAACCGATGCGCATAGGTCGTTCAAGCAGAGAAAAGAGCAATTAGGGTGTTTGGTGTGAATTCGGACAACGCCCACTTTAATCAGAAGCTCTCGATTGACTGAGCCATAATTATCCCCTTCAGAAACTACCATTTCAAGCCAAGAGCTTTTTCAAGGGCTTTGTCTGAAGGTGACGGTGCTCACATCCGGAATAAAGGCTTCAAAAGATCAACCAATGCTATACCCTTCTTCTCAGTGGACATTCGTAGTATGTCTTTTTTGATGGATCGTACGGGTCGTACCATGTTGGATAAAGCAGACGCGGTATCTTTGAGGGGATCTGCTTAAGTTGACTGTTATACGCAGTGGGTGCAGGTATTGTCCTGCAAGTTGGCAACTTCGTTACACGCAATGTTATGTGTACTCGCTAAGCGACTTATTCAAATTTATTCCGATTTTGAGAAAACCATTTGGCCGTCATCAGCATCCATGTTTTTTGCAATTATTTCTTGCTACCTCTTCCCCGGTCTTTCTTAGTCGAACGGAAACGTCGGGACTATATCAACTGCCAAATTTCGGAGTTGGGAAATCTGCTACCAGAAGAAATGTTTCGAGATGGGTAAGTTCGTCCACCAATTTGTGGTCATTCCATCTGTTGCATTTTCATACAACTTGAGGTCAGTTGATTTTTTCGATGGAGATATTTGTTTTCGTCAATGTTTTCCAAAGAGTATTGCCGCTGAAGAGATTAAGCGAAATTTCGACATCTCACAGCCTTTATTTTCTTGCTGTGTTATTGAAATGGATAAAAAGATGAAAAGATACTCATTGTTTTAAATTTTCGAAGACGGAGTAAAGTGGGTAGATAACCTGTTACTTCAAAATTACTTATAAAGTCGTTGGCGTTTTCACATCAACTGACACTATCGGCAGTAACAGATAGCTTGTGCGCGCCAGCACCGTTTCGAGCTTTTTTTCAGTTGCACTTTGTCGCATGTGGATTACGCAAACGGATGTAAGAACCATCACTGTGTATTTGTACCCCCGTCGATAGATTATTTGTGTGACGCATTGCGCAGATAGAGAAAATGGTAAGATTCTTCGAGATCCGCATACCGACTTCATGTCCTATCCCATCAATGAACACGACACCAAGCTTTATGCGTGCAAACTGCATGCCAAATGCCTCCGTGTCCACAAAAACACCTACTATTCCCTTGCAGATGATAGCAGCGTTCTCTGTTTTCCGAAGGATTGCAAGGTTTTCGTTGGTAGATATTTAAATCCAACTATGAGCATCATTCTAATTGTTCTGTCAGTCGAGTTACTGCTGATGACCTTCCTCGTACATCCACATACAACCACAGATCAAAGAATACAAATAAATCGTTCAGCTGTGGCATGTTCTTGAGCTCGTGATGGCTTATTGGTCAAGGTTCAGACTTGCTGACCTGAGGTTTCGTGGTTCGAGCCCAACACCGGTATCTTGATTGCTCCTTCTAGGATCGGACAACCTGGCGGTCTACAGTTCTTTTGCTTTCTTCGGACAGCATGGTAACTAGGCATCGCAAGGGTGTTACACTTGGACAGTTGTTATTGATTGTCACTGCAATCCGGTCCGAATGGATAGTCCAAATTACAAATCTTTCAGGCAACAGCCTGCCTCAGAACCGCTGAGTTGTTTCGAGGTTAGAACAGCGTGTTACGTTCACAAACACAACTTCGATTTAAGAAATATCAAGGTTTCGGACCATCTACAAACTCGCTTCAGTGCCAGATGAGTTTCTTATTGGGGTCAAACACAATGTGGATGCTTGCGTGGCTTGCTTGCAGAGTAATCTGCGACATTTCCCTTTTTTAACAAAACTGCGTGGCTTCTAATAGATTATAGCAGCGCAGCGGATACGGTATTCATTTCATTGACAGAGTTCCCTGCGATGACCATACCACTTACAATTTATCAAGAGGAAAGATGATTTCGACAGGTGACTCAAATGAATCCAGCTGAATCTCATTTATAATACACGTTTATCATAAACGAAAGATTCAGGTGGATTCGGTTGCGCCTCCTGTCGAAATCAAATCGGTGTGCAAGTGACGGTATTTGTCGAATTCCACTAAATTTGGGTTCAAATAGAACAAAGGTTTGGCGGAGCCTTGGGTACTGCGCCCACTTGATGAGTCCCAAGAAAGCTAGTGAAAACTTTTCAGAAACCTTATGAGCAGTGTGTTTCGTCTAGAGATTGAAGATGACTTTGTTTTATCCTTTGTACGACACATGGACGTCTTACGTGACCCATCGGTTGTTGGTAAAATCGCGGAACGTACCCATATAATGACCACTCTGTGGGAATTGCAGATTGGACGTGTCAAAGTACAGCATCCGTCCAATGGACCACGTTATTTAGATGATGAGTGAGCCATTCTGACACAGTGTTATTCATGGAGTCTTTACACAGAGGACAAACAAAGAGAACGTGAATCTAGGTTATGATAACTTAGTACGCACCTCTTAATGCGATTCACAGACGTCGCCGGCAGCTTTCGACACCAGATGATGACACTTCGTTGTTGCATCTTGTAGTAGCCAGTGACCAAGATGTCCAAAAACCAATTAAACTATACTACAAAGACTCGATTTTGACTTCCTGTTCTTTCGTCAGTCTTTTCGCTTACTAGCTCTCGTTCTGTAGTTTGATTAAATGCCTTCATGTTTTGTTTCGCCGGCAGACCCAACAGCAGCAAGAGCCAAAAGTTTGGTGGAAGCTGCAATTGGTGATGATGATGTCTGTTTAAGGTTTCGGCTGCTTGTAACTTACTTACGCAACCCCGTGAAACGTTTGCATAAAAAACGAAAGGGCGTTCATGAGATTACTGGTTGCTTCCGAAGCGTCCCTCCGGCGTGACGTCATTAACGGTTTACAGTGGCCTCCCATTTTGTTAAGGGTATTTTTTCATTCGATCGTTGCTCCACAGTTAACCACATACCCAATCGCACAAAGAGATAACTTCAGAAGATAGTGGACAGTCAATACAACGCACGCCTCGTCGGTTCTCTGGATGATGGTGAAGTGTAGTATGGGAGACTTGTCTCTTTACGGTCAGAAACGGTATGGTACAACCTAACCTGCATTTAATCTGACATTAGGTCGAGATTTGTGCAGATCTCGCAGCTAGTTGCAACCTCTGGACAACATGCATACCAGCAGTTCTCAAGCTTGTTCATCTCATCACCCCATGTGTGTGATGGCATATTCCGTCAATCCTGCATGTATTTTATGAATGGCAAAATCAAGACGATGAAAACGACACGTGCTAGCATGACGCAGTATGATGTTTTATACAAAAATAAGCAACATGATGCGCGAGTTTTGTGGTAGGATACTAGCTTGTAAGTATATGTTAGATAGTCACTGAGAGAAGGCTGGTGCTTTTACGTGAGGATTCTTTTTGGCGCTTATAAGAAGCTTGTTGAAGGCTAGGAAACCATTCCCTGTTCAGTACAATTTTAGGTGTGGGCGAGGTAACTCAGCGCGAATCTACTGACCGGAGTGTTCGTTGTTCGAATCCGACCCCTGCATCTCGATTTCTCCTGTTTAGGTTTGGGCAACCTGGTAGTATCCCAGACCTCGTGCTTCCCTCGAGTGGCATGGCAGCTAGGCACCGAAAGGGTGTTACAGCTGAACGATTACCTTTTACGATTTTAGGAACACTCCCAAAAGGCGCTACTTTTCACCAATTAGATTAGTATTTATATACTCTTCGTACAACCACTCCTCATGCTTTAGCCTTTTAATCATCAACTTAATTTCCGTGCAGTTTTTGATAGGTGAAGTTTGTGAACTCACGACCCTGTGTTCGCTTAATCCCCCGCACCTTAATGAGATCAGAATGCGATCATAAAGCTTACTTTGTGACAAGCAAGTCTCATAATCCACTCATCCGGAAAACCAGTACTGACTACGGGAGACGTGGGTTCAGTAAAACGCCTACTGTCAAACAGGTACATTTCATTTCGAACACAAGTTCTTTAATAATAAACGAGCCCAGGTGATCTTGGTTACACGCACTCGCCCTAGAGAATTCGGACCGATGCAGTGCTTGACTGCCTCAGCTATCAGCTGCCGTCCGTGCCGTTGTTCATGTAGTCTTATTCGAGTCAACAATTTCAGCTTTAAGTTAAAAGCAAATTGGAAAAAGCTTGAAACCGGTAGAGAAGTAATCTTTTCGGAAAGGTTTGGTAAACAGTTTGTGAGTCTCTTGTAGAGGAGCATTTATATTTCGGAAAAACAGGCTTAGTTGGGCTACGTAAGTGAGTTACTGCGTTGCTCGAGCTTTAAGGTGGACGGAGAATCATTCTCCAAAATCTTTCATGACTGGAACGCCAAATCAGTACTAAATGTCAGCGAACATACCAGCTGCAGTTGATCAACGGTCAATTAACACACCCAAGCTTCACGTTACCAACTTGTGGAGAATTGGAGAATTCCTGTATTGATTTTCTAACACTGGAATACGACTTGTGAAAGCTTCAATGCATTTTGTGTGTATCAGAATTTCGGACATAATGAACCTCCGTTATTGCATCGTTGGCCGAGTCGAGAATGAATAACTAGATGTACTACACGTGGGGCAACATGTCACTGGTTACACCTAACGCCATACTGATGATCACCCCGATGGTTCGTATCTTCAACACGGCGAATGCATCCACGGCTTAGGCCAGGATGGAGAGAGAGGGGAAACTAGGTGCTAGTTACTGTAGCATCGTGTCTGGGATTTTGGTTTTGAAATCCACACAATTATCTCACAACCCTGAGTCTTGAGTTATTCAGTCAATAATTTTTAGTTGATCGCTATAGATTATGACCACCCAAAAGCCATCGTCTGTGGTTAGGACGAACTTTAGACAGCTTGTAGATTCAATTGTTTGTCCGCATTTTCCTGAAAGCCGGCTATAAGTCAGTTTGCCTGCCACTTATTTTCATGCCATCGGGTATCTGCTCATCATGGGGCATCCAGGCAGTTACATGCGCCACGGTCTTTACATTCTTGCGCGCCTTTTGGCGCACGTATACTAAGTGTTTTACCCCAGACATTGTCATTATTGAGTTCTCAATCACAAGATAAATTACATGACTGTTTTCAGAGACTGCAAGAAGAACAAGGGCAGTATCTTGAAGAATTCCGTGGAGTTCATATGTCTCTTGCGCGCTGAACTGTCACAATTAAGTGAGGTACGGAGAGAGACCAATCTGGCAGCTAAAGTCATCGGACAGTTAATCAAGCGGATTCAGGTGAGTCACTAAATCCACGTCTCCACTTCTCTCTTACTGCATTAACATTTTTTCTGCATTTGTGGCGACGGTTTTTGGCATTTATGGTGGCTCTTAACTCCGAATCATAGGTTTAACTCTACACAAAAACAATTGGAAATCGACTATTCTTGTAAATCTTTCCATCAATCTGTCTACTAACAATGTGGATTCTGACATGTGTTGCACCTTGTATAGACCTTATCACAGAGTACACGAACTTCCTGGATCATCTTAGTGTCCTTTGTGCCAGGATATTCGATTAGCGCACAAATGAGACCTCACCTGTTTTACATCGACGTTAGCATCTTTCTGCACGTGACTTAAATGTGGATATGGAAAAAATAATTGGCACAAAACATACGAATATTTTGCCCTGTCTAACTCCTTGCTGTCCCCATAACTGCAGGCTTTCAGCAATGACGTCGAGATCAGCTCTTTGGTTTTCAGATTGACGTCCATGGAGGTACATCAATCAAGTTAAAATTCAGTAGTGAACAAAGTTCGCCAACTGGAAAGCAGATTAAACTAGGCAAAAACCACTTGAGCCGTGGTTAAATGCAATACTTTGCCTGGATTCAGACGGGGCAGGGATTCGTGTTAGCAGAACTGTGTACGTTTCTGTCAAACGTAGTTTTTTTGCAATGCGGAAATTGTGTACATTGGATATTATGTGAATCACAAAAGCTTACCTTTGGGGAGTACTGATGGTCGTCAATTACAAAAGTACAAAAACAACTGGATTTCCGTATGACGCTCTCGCCGTCAACAGCATTTGAGTGGATTCGGCTGGTACTCTTTGTGGTTTGTCCTGATATTTCTCTGTACTGCTATCCCATGCAGACACTGGCGCTTAGCTTTTCCTAACTTTCACTGAGGATTGCACATTTATTGCGAACGACACTGCTATCTATGTCAACGTTCCTCTGTAATGCGACCGTCTCCTCTAGTAAGGTTGGCTTTTTAGTCATACTGATGAAACACTATGCTTTCACCTCGACCCCAGTTGTTTTAGACTGAGTCAGTATGAGGCTAACACAGGTTTTTAGTTTTTTATAACCAGGAGTGATCATAGTGGGTTGGAAGATGTGAAACACCTGATACATACATGAAGAAAAACAGTTACTTTTCAGGCAAAAATGTCGTAACGGTAAATCCAAGTTTTTGTTTTTCTCTCTCAGCGTGCACGAATCCGTTTTGGTTTGTCAAAATAAGAAAAAGAACGCGATGGGTATCTGTTTTTTGTCGTTTAAACGGTCCCCTCTGGAGTTCCCAAATCACCTCACAGCCTTGTCTCGATTGGATGCTTATACCGGCTTTTGTTTCTTATTCAGTCACTTGCTATTCGGATCCAATCTATGCGATTCACCGTCCGTCACTAATGCTACTAACTCGATTCTACCTCATATTCGCACTGAGAGTGTCAGGAGTAACGGAGAAGTTGGGGCGCGATGCGCCAAATTTCAGTCGCCCGCCGGTAGCCAAATAATTCATGCGACTAGTTGTAGTGAAGCTAGCATATAGGTGCTCAGCATTCATGCGCCGACTGTACTACCATTGTTTTCTGTTGTACCATTTTTAGCCTCGACACGCTTGAAAGGGTTATCCTAGCAAATAGATTGTTGCCCACCGTTACCGATGGACAGCCGTCAACTAGAGGATCTATGGGTTGTAGCATTGCTAACTGCTCAGTGGATGTTCCTTGTGATTTAAGATAAGCCTCTCTCTGTGAAGAACCTGTTGTTGCTCTAAACACTCACTATGGCAGCAATATCGCATTACACCCCCTGATTTGGTGTTGTACCTTTTGGCACAGCCTTGGTGTCCATCGATTGCCACCATGAAGCACGGAATGCGGAATAGAGATGTGAATATTTTGAAAAGCACTACTGGCAACTCTTAGGTTCCCATTGGGTGCTGAAATCATCACTATGGTGTTGGACTACTTGGAAGTGTCAGCTGATGCTAATAGTTGTTTGATCTCAAACAGCATCACCACTTTCGCTAATTGTAATGAGTCGGTAATAGACCACCAGTCTCTTGGTGCAGTTGATCTGTATTACATGACGAACGCTCAACCAGCGAACTAACCGCTAAAAACCAAGTTGTTTCACATTCTATTTCTATCTTCTCATTCACATCCGCGAAGCTTTGGCTGCAGGCATTCAAGCGCACTTGTCACAAATGGCTGGTTATTTCACTTTCGCATTCTACAACAAATTTGTTTACCAACCGAGGTAGTCACTTACCTTTTTCATACAATAGAACAACGCTACGAAATCAAGAAAGCTAATCGCTACCCGAATCAGATTGAGGACAAGGTTCACAGTAAAAAAAACTTTGTCAGAGTTTATTTATCCTAGTGAACCTTGATCTCATTTTAAGCCTGAGGGACTTGTGTTTTGTACACACGCCTATGGTCCGATAGTGACTTTTCTCCTGCACAGCGACGGCCTTACCGCCATCTATTCATTTTTTGATCACTGGAGGTTAGGTTGACGACGGATCCTTTATGACCTACTAACTGTGGAAGTTCTGAAATGTTGACGCGTTTGCCGTCGGATTGATTCCGATTCTGTGAATGAATTTTTGTAACTGTTCTATCAATTGGTTCATTCAAGGACGAAATTTTGCTCGGTGACCGCAGTTCACTGTAGTAACGTTACCTAAATGGTAAGGAGATATCTCCATGATATGTTGCTGCCAGGGCCAGATTCAGTCGGCAGCTGGGTGACACTGGCTCCGTAGAGTATCGGCCTACTTCCAGTCTAAATGCATCTAGGAACATGATCAATAAGCTCAATGCAGTAAATTTGATTAACAAGCTATAGCTTGACTTCAGTCGAGTCTCTTGGACACCTTTTTAAGATAATGACGACTCGAGTTCGTTCTTTCCTTCGGGCAGCTTTTTTCCAGGTAAAGCATCCATAGTTGCGTGCTCTTGATCGCCCTTGTGCTATTATCCATCCTACAATTTGGGAAGGGACGTTTTGTTGTATTTGGGGTACAAGTTAACCGGGAAAATACTACAGTGCTTGTGAGCTCCTTGTTTGCCTATACTGTATCCTAATTCAAGTTCTCTCATGTGCCTTCACATACATTCCTTGGAAGTGGTTTCCACCAAAGGCATGTCAGTTTTTTTTTTAGAAAATCAGAAGCTTTTAGGAAAACCCAGGTGGTTCTGATTAGAAGTGTTGACGAATTTTTCCGTTGGGTCAACGCCTGCTCCCAACTTACCCTACTCAGAGGAATCCACTGTAATTCTTCCAGATTGCATTTGCATCAGACAGCTGGTTCTACTACTGTGGCACGTCAGATGGCAAAGTGGTAATAAAGATGAATAAAGTTGCTGTGAGAAATGTCAAGGCAACTGTGATCGAACTAATTTCCAGGTTTGTATCAAAATAACTCACTGTTCTAGACGCGAACTACTGCTAGAGACGTTTTGTGGTGCTTCGAACACATCCTTCACCTTTCGATAACTTCCGTCTTGGCTATTATCGATGTAATAAGTTCGGTAATTCGAAGCATCCAAATCGTTTAGGTCGCAAACACACGACTCAGCCCATTGTTATTCGAATCTGAAATTACGAAAGACGAAAATCCACTCTGGGATCGATTCTAGAACATTCAGTGCCATGCAGACGTGTAAAAGTCTATGCGCGTGAATGAAACTCGCCACGTAGTCTGATTTTTATTACAGACTTTATTTATTCTGCATAATGCATGTCTCGAAATTTTGCACCACAGTGTCACCAAAATATACTGTTACTTGTGGTGACTTTGCAACGTACATAACTAAACCGCAACTGAAACAAACGTTTCACAAAGTCCAAAAGTTTGCTTATTCGATTCCGCCTTTGAACAAAGCCGCTGTCATAGCAGACCGTTCTCATTCCTCGGAGCGTGTTAGATTTCTAGCGAGATTAGTTGACGTGTTGAACCAACGGGGGCTGGATTACCAACATTGAATCTGCGACAGATACACTCAATGCAAGCCTTGTTTGGTTTTCACAGGAGAATTACCTGCTGAATCTGTCGTTTGTGGTGTTATTCAACTGGATTTGCTGCACCAGGCCGCCTAATCGTTCATTTCATGCGATATTTGGGATATCACTACTAATTGAGACGTGGCTCACTGCTCACGAGGTTGCTGAAAACGTTTACAGCCCACGACAGGTTCCGCTGTTCTTTGGGGCTCATCAGTTCCCGAGTTTCCGACTTCAGCAACCCTATGGGTGGTGTGTTACGTCTGAACATTGAAGTATTTGTAACGTCTTTTGACATGAACACACATGCTTCACCTATCGCACTCTAGGTTTTTAAAAACATGTTGCTTCACTCACAGGAGATGTAATTTCGATGTGTGATTTAACCCGTTACATTCCCCTTGAAGAAAACAACCCCTCGGAAGTGCACTCTTTTTCCCGAACTGGATAGTTTACGCCTGGTAGGAAACACCACACAGGCCTTGCTATGTGCCACGTATTCATGTTTACTGGTCGAACTTTACACGGTTGGTATCAATAGCACTGCGATTAAACTGTCCAGCGACTCCAACACTCTTTACTGAACTTGTTTCCGGAACGCGTCTTTCGGAGCTCGAAGATCCATGATACCAAACCAGCTCGTGGCGTGGAAGGTGTATTGGAAGTAGTTGATGATCGGGATTATTTCTTTGACTGACAAGCCTAAACATTTGATAATCACGTGACATATCATAGTCTACAGTTTCGCAGTGTTCGGTACTGTTTTACAACTGAGAAACGTGGTCGGTGTGCGTGTTCAGGACAGAGCTTGATTACCTGCCGTCAACTATCGGTAACTTCGACGCGGTGTGTTTGTGTTGTGGGAATGTCGGGTGGGTAATGCTGAGCTGCGGCGAGTGATATTTTGGATAACAAATCGGATGCTTGCCCGCTTGATGATGTGATATAACTGAACCAGCCACGATAAACTCGTCATGTTTTTCATGTATCAGG